AATTAAAAATATATTTATATTATAGCTATTATTTTTTTTATAATTAAAGATTTAGATTTTCAGCTTTACTAACTAGACTAATAAAAATAAGAATTAAAAATATAAATATTAAAAGATTTTTAAAAAATTATATAAGTTTTATTCTGCTTAATATTTTTATTTTATATAATTTATATTATTAATCTATTATTAAATTTATTAAATTAATTTATTTATATAAGAAAATATTCTTTCTTAGATTTAAAATATTTCTTAATTTATTAAATTAATAAGATTAATAAATATTTATAAAAAAATATATATATATATTATTTTTATAATCTATAACTTTATTTAAATATAAGATTTTAATTTAGATTAATTTTTAGATTTTATTAAGATATTTAATATTCTTAAATAATAAAAAAATAATATTTTTTAATTTTTAATTTTTATTATTATAGCTCAGAATTTTCTTTCTATTTTAATTAATAATATTAATATTAAATAATTATTTAATTTATTATATAATATTTATTATTATTACTGTGATTATTTATTATCAGAGATTATTTATATTATTATAATCTAGATATATATTAAGAATTTTATTTTAAAATAAGATTTTTATAATATTAAAAATAATAATAATAATAGTCTTGATTTAGAATCAGAGAATAATTTAAATAAATAAAATAAGATTTTAAATAAATATACTAAATATATTAATAAGAATAATTTAAAAAAAAGATTTAAAAATATTAAATATTTAAAATAATAATATAATAGAACAGAAGATTAAGACTATTTATTTTATTTTATAATTTTTATTATTAATAATTTTAAAAATATTATCTTACTTAACTTTAGCTTTATTATTATATTTATATTAATTTAAATAATTATAATAAAGATCTATTTATCCGGGCTTTTATTTTAATTAAAAAAAAATTATTTTATTTTTATATATATTTAATTTATAATTAATTATATATATTTTTTATATAATTTATATTTTTTATTTAAAATTAGTTTTTTTATAAAATATAAAGAATAGACAGATTTATTAATTTTAAAATTTTTATAATTATATATAATTTATTAATATAATATAAATATATTGAATTAAGAAATAAAATCTAAGTTTATAAAATCTAACTTAATTAATTTAAAATAAATTTATTAATTTAATTAAGCCAGATCTAAAAAATTTAAATCTATTTATTAAGTCTATTTACTTTCTTGAGCAGGTTCTCTTGGCGAGCCGGGCTGAGTGAATCCTGAGCTGACAAGCGGGTAATAACAAGCCTAATTTTATTATAAAATTATTCTTATTAAATTTTAATTAAATAATAATTTCTAAATTATATTTAATCTTAATAATACTTATATATAATTATTTAATTTAAATAAGATTATATTATTAGTAATTATTATTATATATAAATAATAATAAATAACTATTTTATAATTATAATATAATCTAATTATACTATAATATAATCTAACTATTATTATAGATAATAATTTAATAATTATTATAAAATAATTAATAAGTATAATAAATTATTAGATATATATAAATAATAATAAGTTATTATCTTTAACTTTTACTGAACTATGCTGTGACTCTCTAGTCTCTATACGCATGTCTCCAGGCCCCTATGAAAGGCTAACATTACCCGCAGTTACTTGCGGACCCCTAGAATCCCATATATATACTCAAGTACACCCGGGAGGAGGTGGGCTTCACCTGTGTAAGTATGCATATCCCGCGGATATCATCCCTTACACTGACCTAATTTACTACAGCTCCATCCAGCCCTCACTAATGCAGCTGTTGCTTCTGGCCTAATTGATTTCTACTTTCTTCAAGAGCAGCGGTGGTAGAATCGGTTGCGGCAGAATATTATCATCAGGTCGTCGACACCCTGTTCCGCGTTCGCGAAAATTGTAAACTGCGCAGTGTTAGTAAACATGCTGGGGATAGAGCAAACACATTGCTGGCCTCTTGCTTCTAGATACTGCCTGAAATTGACGATATCCATTAATGGGGAACTACAGGTATTCTTTTTTTCCAGAAGGGAGAAGCATCTGTTTAATTTTGTTACTTTGGAGAAGCAATCTCTATTCCAAGACATGGAGCGGCCTAACTGATTATGGCCGGGGTGCTCATATCATATGTACATCAACCTTTTTTCAGGGCACGAAACGACTAGATGACGCTTGACTGGGGTGCTTGTATATACAATCAATCTACGAGTCGGTCGGCTGGAAAACCTCAATATCAAAAAAAATCTATCTTTACAAATACTGGCCCCTTCATTTTGTCATAACGGGAATCCTTGTTTCCATCGTAGCAGAGCCTGATCCTGTCGGTTGAAGTATGATAAGGGGCATCGATATATGACCCCTATGTATAACACGAAGAATTAAAGATGCCTCTATGGTTGTGCCATGCAATATACTTTCATATCTGACTGACTCGGATTCATCCAGAATCGCTTCCTCAGCAAGAGGTACATTCCAGCGCCCCTGCTCGCGTGATATACCTTTTAATTCCCGCTAGTATGTTTTCAACATGACCAAGATGTGCTTCTACTGAGAGCCTGGCAGGAATGCCCCATGCTATTAGTTCTCGAAGTCCTGAAAGATGCCGTTGGTAATGGCTGATCCTTACGTATCTCCGGTAGCGTTGGTGTTTAAGGGCTAGCCGAAGCATATGCGAGATACGCGGAATCATTGGCCACAGGATGAACGCTCTGTATCCAGGTACATCTCGGCGTCATTTCATTCGCTTCGCGGGGAATTGGAAGCTAGTGCATTCGCATTCCATGGAGAATGTGAGGTAATAATATAGTTCATGCAGTGATTGCGCTAGGTGCTAATAAGTCCATCTATGGGAAGTTGTAAATCGAGCTGGGGCTCTCTCATGTATGGCTGTTTGATATATCGGGTCGTGGTTCAAAAAGGAAAGCCTGAACAGTCAGGTTTCTTAAGCGAAGAGATATACATTCACTGTACAGATAATGCCTATCCCCTTTCTCACCCATTCGCAGGTCTCTTTTATGTAAGCCACGGATGTGAAAGCAGGTCCTCCGCCGTGGTCCGGTCCTCAGGCCTCCAGCGTAGCGTTCTAGAAATAAGGTCTACAAACAGAGGCATTTCGTCGTCACCATCAATTTCTTTAGCCATAGATACCAGGTCCTTTTTTCCAATAAGCTCGGGAGTTTTGAATTGTCCTTCAATTCAGTTAGCTGCGTCTAGCTAGGACATAAGTAGCATACCTTCAGCGTCAAAATACCGATATGTTTCTCCTCCCCGGCTGAGAAGATCAAGTGGAGGAGGCCCCAGGAGAGAAATTATCTGGGCCAGATGGGCTTCGTCTGTAGAGCCTGAGCCGCACGAGTCCGGTGGTATATCGAAGGGCCCATGGCCATAGAACAGGTCCCAAAGCTAATAGACCATTAGTAGTGATCAGAATTATGATAATGAGGACTTTACCAGAACTCCCAAGTTCCAAATGTCAGCACTATAGCTCCAATCACCCCCAAGACAAACTTCTGGGGCCCGATATCCCTCTGGCTGGATGGGGTGGCTATTCGGAGGGCCGTCACCGTGTACAGCAAGCCCAAAGTCAGTTATTACCGATCTACCTAGTTCATCGGGCGATAGTCCCCAGTAATTTCGGGATAAGTATATGTCCCGACCGTCTAGTTGTTTCCGTGGAGAGGGGTTGTTCATCTCATCCTGCGCGACCGAATTCAGGATAGATGGGTTACGTAGGGACAATAAGATATTATCAGACTTTAGATCTTGTTTTTCTGTTAGCTGTGACCGATCTCAGAAGTAAACCGGTTGAATGACTAGTTACCTGTGTGAATAACATGACATTCGGTGTGGAGGTACCGTAGTCCTTCCAGTATAAGTTTAGATACTGGTTTCAAGACATCGAGGGGAATGATGTTTCCCTCGAAACGACGTTTCAGCATCCACAGGGGTTCACAAAGCGCATCAAAGACCATGCAAATATGAGTGCCGCCCGGACTAGCAACACGAAACGAGTCTAACAGAATGGCGACAAAGTTGCGGCCTGGATGCTGGGGACTTGCTTTAGTTATATGCTCAGTAATGCGCAACTCCTTCTCCGCAGACTCTTGAGATGCATAATTGCTTGCGTTAACTTTGATGGCCACATATTGGGGCGGAAGCCATCGCCATCTATTACACAGTGAGACAAGGCTTGAATATGTGATCAGATATTCTTCACATACTGGTGGAGATCGCGTGCTAGCCATACTGTTGAACTTGTTCCCCAACCTATTTTGGTGACAATTTGGTATCGGTTGTTGAGTATCTCATAAAGCCGTACAGGATAAAAGTGCTGAGGCTTATAATGGGGTGTGTGCTCTTCCTCAACCAGATCTGCCGTAGGGAGTAACTTTATTGGGAGGGGGGGGGGTTTGTAGGGAACGGACTGAATAATTCTTCTAAAGTATCTTCTAAGATACATGGCCACGAAGAGATGAATGAATCGCTGCCCACTTTGGCATTGACTGTTGCTGGTCGTGTTGAAAGCAGGGGGAGGCGGGTTTATAAGCGCAATGTGAATAGATATAATCCAATTGGTTGCCATGGATGGAACATAGTTATTCCATCTCCGGCTTAACTAGTAAGCGCACACACTGGTAACCACCGAAAAAGGATCTGCCAGGTGGCCACAAGCTAGAAGAGATTAAGCACCCAAGCACTCAAATATTAATGTCATCACTTCAAGAAGTATCGTACCTATTATTTACTAGCATCCTGCTCCTGCGTCTTAGGCTGTGTACAGGTGAAGCGTCCGGAAGCCCCTACACCCCTGAGATCCCCACATCTTATGAAGCATGCACGGGCCAACAGGCAACTTGTCATGTGATTTTTTTTACTCGCCTTGTTGAAGTATCCATCCATCCAACCAACTAATTAGATAGAATAATACTTCGCTATAAGTTACCGGCGCCTCTTCATGTCCAGTCCAATCATTTATTAAAGCTGCTCCTCGAATACACCACTCGCCCGTCTTTATACCAATGCCCTGACGTAACCCGCATTCCCTCCTTGTTGAATATCTGCCCCGATACGCGCAGGTCAGGATCTGCTTCAGAGTCATGTTCGTCGCCCCTAGCAAAATGATAAGCAAGATAATTGTTTTACAGCAATCTTTGTTACTTACGCAACTTCAACCCTCTCAGCCCATTTACTCAATTTTGGGTGTGTCTTAATTGAGCGGGTAATCATCGTATCATACTCTGGTATCGCTTGGGTGTTTTTCCAAAAAATGTCGAGCATTGCCCGCACAGTGGTCGAGAAGGATCGCGACATACTGGGAATTCGTGATAGTAACGGTGATGGTGATGGGGTAATGGACTGTTGTATATGAATATGAGGCAAATGGAATGATGATGGGGAAGTTCTTGATGTACTCAACTGGAGTTGTCGTTTATATATCTTAATTTTCCTCAACATCGGCCGTCTTCCACATGAGCAGAGCGCGTATTGATTGGTGACAATCAATCGGTATTGAAGAGGCTGAAACTGACTTAACCCCGCCACGCCCTACATTTCGATGTTGGTTTGGTCAGGCGTGAAGCCAAGGTGGACTTGACAGTAACGCCTACGTGGAGAATAATCCATGCAATGTATAACGCAGCGAGCCGCGAAGATGGGGGTTAGTTGAAGCGAGAAACCTTCAGCAAGCCCTGATTCGCGAAGGTGGGTGACAGGGTGAGTATTGGCTGAGGTTCAACAATGGACCTACGCTGTTTTCACAATTCTCACAGGCAGCAGGCTTTTCTCCTTCGGGCTTCTAGAGCGCAGAATGCCGTGAATCCAGGTGCATAGATACGGTAAGCAATGTTACAATTCAACCAGAGTAGCAGGAGCATGACTCCGTGTCTTCGGTGCTGGTGGCAATCGTTGCGTGCAGCACCAATCGCGCGTCGAGTAGTAAATACCATAGTTCCTTGAATCGCCAGTTGCCTTACAGGTTCCCTCAGGCATAGAAACCCTATTACGTAGATGAGGTGGAGATCAGACAACGGAGAAGTAGCCCATTGACATTTGATGAGGGAAGATGCCTCTCGGGCCCGCCGGAAAGTAAATTGCATATTGGGGTGGGTCAGCATGAGGAGCGTGGCCAAAACCCCGTTTCGGCGGCAGATCTCAGACCATTATCAAACCTCCATTCTGAACCGTGGTTCAGAATGTCAATCAATGATAACCATCCATTTTCGGAAGCATGACTTATACTTGAACCAGAAGCTCCACGTAGTTAATAGTAAATTCATCATTACCGCGCAAGCGCGCAAGACTCGTGTTCTTCTTCCCTGGCTAGACAGTATGGTTGTTATTGTCTGAACTTTCTTTGATCATGTACTCCGTACTCCGTACAAGAGCCTCTCCTATCTGGGTAAGACTGGATCGGGAATGAGTTACGAAGAGCCCACCGGCCAAATCGCGCTATACTAGGAATCGACGATATAATATTCTAATTTTGATTTGATATTTGATAGATTGGTCTCCTGATGTGTCTATTTCTGGAGAAGAAAGCATTAAACATTATCGAGAAGTAGGTCAGAGGATCAAATAGGTTTCAAACAGTAAGAGAGCAGAAAGTACATCCATCCTTGTTATATTAACCAACTACTGACAATATTGCAGGGATTGCAGACAATGTACGGCGTATGGAGGAGTATAGGTAGGTAGGTATACCCGTGGAATCAGGCAGAAATAAGGCAAACGTGAAGCGATCAGGGATGTGGCCGAGATGGATAGATAGATAGATAGATAGATAGGGCCAACGGATCGATATCGGATCAAGGGAAGGGAACGGACTAAGCCGGACCGGGTTCTATCTAGATTGTACGGAGTAGTTACTCTATAGAAGCGCACCTATCTAGTATCTAGATCTAGATCTAGGATTTTTTGCGACAGCTTTGCAAGCAAAACCCTATCTATCTATCTAGATACTCTTGACTCACAGCGCGACCCCGACCTGGAACAGTAGGTAGGGATCGGTCAAGGATGTGAAGTAGTACTTACTCTATGCATACTCCGTACTCCATAGCTCTGTGGTAATGGTAATGGCATAATAAAACGGTAGCAGAAAGAAGGCATTTTGATAGTCAGGGTGAGTGGGTGCGTCATTATCAACAGTTGACGGGCAACACCGTAGAAAAGACAAACTGCCATCCATCCACGCCGTAGAATCATCTCTATAATTATTTCTGTTGGGGTTGAGCTGTCATTCAAAGATCCAGATCGCCACTGCGTCGGCGATACGCAATATATATATCATATATACTCGGAGCCATTCTGCCATCAACTTATATTGCAATCCACCATTGCTATATCGCACTACGGAGTAGCTATATAACTAGATAACACAGCATCCGGCATCTTGGAAAGCTATTACCATGGCCATGATTGCATGGTTTGCTTCTCGGCATGTCGGCGGAGTAGATTTACTCCGCTAGGATAATTACTTACCCGTGCGTCCGGACGCAGGTGAGGTGACTCTTGCAGGCTGGACGACTCAGTACCTGGTATCGTATGTAGGTTGAAATGGCAATCAGAGTAGAGAGCATGGCGGTGGCTCACTTACTGCTATTCAATTCGTGGCTCCTTGGGCGTTGAGACATTATTGTTACAGTGTATTGCGGTGTTGAGATTCAATGCGGTACTAACTACAGTATGGCATCTGGCTATCTGCAGGTGATGGTTTGTGGGGACTTAGTCAGCGTGGGGTGTGGGGGACACTAAATTACCTCATGTTGTTTGTTGGTCCGCGCGCATCGTTATCATTGATGTCTCCCCTTGCGTCATTTCGTTGTTAGCTAGATATTACTACTGCTATGTACGGAGGACTCCGTACTTGCTTCCGGGATATGTGTTGCCTTTCTATGTTATATACACTTAGGTAAGATTAATAAACCTGTTCTTTTGTATCCTGTATAGTATATATGTCTGTCTCTATACTACTATTCTTGCCTCATGTACAGTAACCTGGTCGCAACTATAGACTCCAATCCCAACGCTCTGGTGTTTATGCCTGGTTCTCCACCTTCGTGATAAGCGTTCCGATGTGGGGCTGCAACTCGACAGAGAACTCATCGCCCGCCTTCAAGAACTCCTTGGGATTCTTCGCAGCGCCAACTCCCGGGGGAGTACCCGTCAGGATAATAGTTCCAGCAGGGAGGGTAGTTCCCTGAGACAGGAAGCTGACAAGCTGAGGCACGCTAAATATAAGGTCGCTATTTAGGATTGTGTGTCAGCACTGGTTCTACCAAATTAGATGGGTAGGATTATTAAAAAGCATACGTCAGAGGGCAGTCCTGCATGACCCGTCCATTCTTTGCTCCGCGGATATGGAACTTGCTAGCATCGGGGAACTGGGCAGCTGAGACAAGAACGGGACCTAGGATGGTTGCATCAGCACAGAGTACCAGACAGGCTGGGAGATATAAAGAGCGAGTCTATACCAATCGGGCAAGAGGTATCGAATCCCTTAGAGAAGCACCACTGGCTCTGGTTCATCTGGTAGGTCCGGCTAGAGACATCGTTGGCAGCCGTGTATCCGAGCACATAGTCCAACGCGTCCGCCTCGCTGACATCTTTCGCGTCACGGCCAATCACGATAACCATCTCCGACTCGTAGTCACCCGTATCGTCGACCTGCGTGATCTTGGGCAGAATGGTCGGGGCCGGCCAGGGGTCTGAGAGGGCGGTCGACGGCTTCATAAATAGAGTCGGGACGTCAGGGATGGCAAGCTTCATCTCGGCGGCATGCGAAACATACTGCGCGCAATTGGTTAGTCCGGCGCTGGACTGCCTGAGCTGATAGATCGCGGATAAGGGTAAACTCACGTTCAGACCAATGCATCGAATCGATCCAACTTCGCTCTGCGCCAGGGGGGACAGGATGCGCTCGACGGTCTCAACTAATTCGGTCTTCTGGCCAGGGTTGAGGACAGAGGTCCCCGAGAAGGGCCGCACAGAAACCTCCTTGCCCTGGTATACTGCCAATCCCACATCGACAGACGCGTCAACAGGTTCGCCGATCAGAACCTTGGAGGGGTTCGACTTCGGGATGAAGCGCACAAGGCCTGCATGACATTAGCACCAATTCAGCCGGGGCAGGAGGTACATGGACACGTACGCGAGAACGTGGATGCGACTTTGGACATGATGTGGTTGGTCGGGAGAGGATCAGTTTAAGCGATAAAGATATGTGGCAGATTCCCAGGGTGAAGTGATCTGCTTTTAAAGAAGGCTGGGGGGATAATGCTACCCCGATATCGCCACAATCTGGACGCGGGGTGGGGGGGGGGGAAGTGGGAGGGAAGGAGGGGCAGCACTGGCTTTGCCGGTGGGAACCGATCCGTTCCTCGGCCTCACCGCCTGGCAGTACCCGAGGGTCCGAGGATTCTGCCCGATCAGAGAAATACAGACAGCCTGGGAGAGGAAAAGATCAACAAGGAAATCTATATGTAATCCCATCCCCTCATCCTCATACACAGAAACTAACAACTAACCCTTCACGACACTGTACCACTCGATAAAGGCACCCTAAATATCCAGAGTAACGAATGCACAATCAATGCACTACATCATCGCCGTTCATCGTCCCCATCCCCCAACCACTCACATGGAGATTCCACGTTACAACCACCCAGCCCCCTAAACCCCACCCGCCAAAGGCTGCACATGCACCTGATTATTCGCAGCCACAACATCCAAACCACCCGAACTAGCCGAGGGCCTAACATTCCTCTCCCTGAGCCTCCTCCCCTCCATCAACCCCCTGAGCCCCCGCTTCTGCAGTCCAATAACACAACTCAAATCGCCCGTCCAGATCTCCCTCTCGGGCCGCATCTCCGCCTCCGTATTCCTCCTGGACGAGGACCCCACCATCTCGGAATCGGAGTGATCGTTTAAACTGGAGACAGAGGTGGATGTACTCGCATTACTAATGGAGTCTTCGCGCTCACGCTCGCGCTCACGTTCACGTTCACGTTCACGTTCCCGTTCCCGTTCCCGCTCGAGCATGAGTTTGCGTTCGCGTTCAGTCTCCCGGTCGAGGCCGGCGGTGCTGCGCTGACGCCGGCTGAAGATGTTCGTGTTGATGCGCAGCGGGATGCCGCGGGAGCCGGTGGTGTTGCTGCCGGTGGCGGAGCTGGTGGCGGAGATGGTCGACGTGCCGTGTTCGGTGTCGGAGGAGTCAGAGGTGAGGTGGCTTTGATGGGAGGGGGTCGTGCCGGTGGTCGTGCCAGTTGTGGTGGTGCTGGTGGCGACGGATTCGAGGGTGGCGAGGTGGGCGCCGTTCAGGGCTTCGAGGGTGCCGCCGAGGCCGCTAGTGAAGCCGGTGCCGCGGCCGCCGCCGGCGGCCATGGCGGCGGCATTGAAGACGGCGGCGGCGTTGCGGCCGTCCAGGACTTGGTGGAGGCGTTCGACGGTGGCTTCGAGGAGGCCGTCGACTTGATAGGGGCGGGCGAGTTGGAGGAGCGAGCAGAGGATTTGGGGCGTCGCGAGGGGGAGTTGGCGGGGGGGAGGGAGGAGGTGTAGAAGTAGTGGACGAGGACTTGGAGGGTCAGGACGGTGTGGGGGAGGTAGAGGACGCGGGGGCGGGAAGTCGGCGAGAGGCTATGGGCGGAGGGGATCTCGAGGTTGGCGAGGAGAGATTTGGAGGTGACGGAGCGGTTGCTGACTAGGGTGCTGGCCGTGGAGTAGGTGCTGTTATGGCCGATGGAGGGCGTGATGGTGATGCTGGAGTTGCGGTGCGTGGCGGCGACTGAGGGACGGAGGGTAGCGGTTTCGGAGACGCCGCTGCCGTCGCAGGATTCGCGGAGGAGCTGGATGAAGTACGGGCCCCAGCGGCGGGTCAGGATGCGCGAGTTCACGGGGATGCGCTCGCCGCCGACGGCTTGGAGCTCCATGTCGGCCATCTCGGGCAGGGACTGGACGAAGCGCCCGAGTTCGTCGGACGCGGAGGTGAAGGGTCGGCCGCCGGAGGTGAGTTTGGTCAGTTTGTGCTGCATGGACGCGGGAATGGATGGCGCGCTGTATGACATGTAACCTGATGTGGGCGCCGCGCGGCACGCGTTGTTGTAGAGCCCGAAGGCCTCGAGTTCCACCATGCAGACGTGGGAGAAGTTGATGCGGCGATGGTTGTAGTCTTCAACCAGGCTGCGCTTGCGGTGGCCTAGGATGACGAAGGTGTTTCTTCGCGACCACAGGACGCCGCGGTTCCAGCTGCCGTGGCCGAACACAGACCCGCCGGCATCAATGCGGCCCCAGGTAAGGGTCCGGAGGTCGAGGGCCCAGAGGGCGTATTCCTGCTTGGAGGAGGTCAGGTAGGTTCCGCTCACGACGAAATGCCCGTTGATGACTCCTCCGTTGGGGAACCGCAACCCCGGAGGCGAGGCCTGGCTGGGCATAGGCTTCTCGACCAGTCGGCCATCTGCTAGGCGCACCTGGAGCTCCAGTTTCACGTCCAGGAAGTTGTAGTTTGAGTAGACCAACATCGGACATCCGTCGACCTGCGAATCCTCCAGCGGTTCCTGTACTTCCGGCTCCTCCGCAGCCGACCCGATGTCGGAAACATTCATGCCAACTAATGGAGCCACCACGCTGCGATAAGCGCCACAGCTTCTCCCTAGGTGGCTGGTGCTGGTCCATTTCAGGCTCCGCAGATTGAATACACTGATTTGCTCAATGTAGTGGTTTGAACTGTCCTGACCTCCGACGACTACCATTTCGGCGCCTCCAGTCCCATCGATATCCACTCCGATTGACCCCTGGTGTGGATTTGACGACGCGGGGTTGTGGTGGATCGCAGATAAGGGGGCACTGGCGGAGGTGAAATGGGCACTGGACGGCAGGATCGTGGCGCAGTGGGCATAGCGGCCCTGGGGGGAGTCGATGGCGGTAACACGGGTCCATGTCCGTGAAGGCACGTCGAATATGTGTATGTCGGACATGACCACAACCTCAGGCTGGGCCTCCTGTCCGTTTGAGCCGTTCGGGGCCGGTTCATTCAGCGCAGGCGACATGCCGCCATAGCACACCAGCTTCTGATCGCCCAGCGCGCAGACGCTGTGGAAGTAGCGCGGGCGAGGAACATCGCCGGTGGTTTCGATCTTCGTCCAGTGACGCCGGATCAAGTCCAGCTCGTATATGTCCGACGTCAGTTGCGGGCGGCTTTTGGACAGGACACGGCCACCGAACACGTAGAGTTTGTCGCCCAATATCGTCGTGGTGGCCCCGACTAGGGGGTGCGGCTCTCTGCCTGTCGTGCGGCGGACATTGCACACCAGACCCGATAGGTTGATGGGGCCCGAGTTCGCAGGCGGCTGCTGCTGCCCAGGCAGGACCCCTGACCCCGAGAGGTCTTCCCTCCCGGAGTCCATAAAGCCCAGACTCGACTGGCTTCTGGACATCATTCTGGAGATGTTTGAATTCTTTCACCGGGACAGTCCACTGAACCCAAGTATGTCTACCTTGGCCGGGAGTATGAGTTGTCGTGAAGCGGACTGTACCCGCGTGCCTCGGAATGCTCGCAAGACCCTTTCCCTAACACGTGTGTATCTCTCCAACCCTCAGCAGCTTATCTCCAAGTATGGCGCTAGTGGACTCCCGAATCGGCAGGGTGTCATCACACGCCGGGGGGGGAGGAGGGGAGGCACGATAAGGAAGGGCTCTGTGTCCCAAGATGGCGCGGGCGCGACGGACAGGCGAGGGCAATGGCGTCGGGGGGCGATGTTCAGCGTCTAAATCAGAGGGAGAGGGGGGGAAGGGAGGGCAGTGCGGTCGACGAGAATCAGGGGCCGGGCGGAAAAGGCGAAATCAGCCAGGGCACTCGGTGGCTTTCCCCGCCGCTACCGCAACCTGGATGGAGGAGGGGGAAGGGGCAAGGAGGTGGTCTGAAGGGTGGGATGGCCGATTGAAAAGATTGCTGCAGTGTAAGACCACCAACCACGTCACGGTAGCCCGGTTGAGAAGACACGATCGGAAGGGAGGACGAGGAGGGGAAAAGATGGATAGATGGATGGATGGATTAAGGTGCGGGTTCAAGGCGGTCGGGCGGTCGAGCGGTCGGTCTCGCTACTCGCTAGGTACTCACTCGTCAGCCAGTCCGTGGGTTCTTCTTCCCCGTTGACTCCAACGGTCCAGGCACGGTGGAGGAATCATCCGCCTGCTGAATGCTGATGCTTCCAGCTTCCGACTACTATCTCATTCTACTGGCAATCCTCGATGCCCCAATTGTGCGGACCCATCCAACTCAAACCGGGCCCAAAGGGTCATGATGCCCCGTCATGGGCCCTTTCCGCGCCGTTATTTATAGCACCCGCACAGGGTCCTGGTAACACCGCCATAAGACACCGTCCTTTTTGGAACCCTCAGCTGAGCTGATCTGGTCAAGCTGGTCCAGACTATTGTGCATGCCAGGGGCTGACGTCTGTAGATGCACCAGTGCCCGAGAAATCAGCGAGTCCCTTTTTTCATGTAGCCCCTGCAGGTCGGTCTACAATGCCCATCAGCGAGCGGGCAGGCAAGTGAGACGCGCATCTCTGCCCTGGGCAGTCCTGGATACAGGCTCGTATTTGAGATAGGGTCGGCCTATACTCCCTCACCACCAGGGGTTTTGCGTGCTCTCTCATGCAGACCGCTATATTAGTCACTGTCTTGGGATCATATCTCCAGTTCCTACTACGTATGCGTGCAGCGGCTCGACGGTAAGTACTACGCCATGCAGGAACAAGTTACCCCAGGGCGGTTCCTGCATTGGGATCATCGGCTTGCAGCAGCGGTATCCGCCTTCTCCCAGGTGACAGCGGACGTTTACAGCACGGATTCAGTAAGTATTCATTCTATTTGTCATCAGATATCGAGTTATTTCATGTCAAAGCCAAAACTTTCATTCATACCATGTTCTCTCTATCAAAAAACACCGGTCTAGCTTCACTCCGTGGCTACATTTACTGCGCCTCCTGAATAATAGGTATCTAGTCAAGGCTGGTGGGCGGGACGGTGTCGTCGTAATTTACCCCTTCTCGAGGCTGGTGAAGCGCAGGTAACTAACACATCTCGTCTGGAATCATCGCCGAAGTTCTCCTGGGCTGAGCATTCATAATATAGAGGATTTCGGCGGTGTTATAACTAGAAGTGGAGGCGGGGTAGAATATAATTAGATAAATCTTCTTGCTAGGGCTGATGATAAGAGCGAGTTCTAGATTATATCAGCTAGAACGATAACTACAGGATTTCTCGATAGGATATCCTGGATATATTCTTGATATAGATGTTGGCAGTGTCCTGTTGGTCAACTGTATTGTAGATATAGCTAATCTTGCACTCGAGGTCAGAGACAATGAATAATTTCAGACTAGAGCTATGAATCCTATTAATATTCTTGGTCCAGGCTTGGTGGGACTTGATACTGTTAGTACTTGGGCTGATAAGCTTGACGCCGCGAGCAGTGAACTCGGGCTCGAGCTTGGCGAAAGCACCGAGCTTCGGTGGTGGAGTTAGGGGTGAAGCTATCCTATAATCAGTCATATAAATCTTGTCCTGTTTGCTTTGCGCAGTGGAGACTTCTCGGTGGGCTTATATGTTGAGAGAAGAGGATGGCCCAGCTGTTGCTAATGTATTCGCATTATTCGTGGAAAGAGATGGGTTGGTTCGTTGGAGGTGTCAGTCTGGAAGTCGGGGCAACGCAGCCGAGGCGGAGACTGCAAGGAAGCCAAGTGTTAGAATGGAATGAGTCTCCCAAGCGTTGAGCATGAGGGGCATGATACTTCCGGAGCACGTTCCTGGGCCATTGTGGATGTGGTTGGGGGGAGGTTAAGTCTTTCCCAGACCTCTAAGGCACCAACTTCAAGGTAGGCAGTAAGTTGATTCCTTGGCGTGCTTCTGCTGACTAATAGCTTACAGAAACACGAGATTGGCAACAGTCCCCCTATCCGAAGAAATTATGCAAAAGACACTCCCCGATATATCCCTAATGTTTACCATAAATACACAGAAAAATATGTAAACTTCCCTAAGATTCGATGTCAAAATCCAGGTTGATTTACGACTATCTCTGCAGTGATGCGGGGTACTAGATCACTGGATAGATAGTAGCCATGGAGCTTGGGTTGGCCTTGTAGGGCTCTGGAGGAGATCAAACAATAAACTACTCTTGAGTCCTGCCCTCGAGGTCGAGACTTGCAAATTTATCTAGGCAAGCACTCGCCCCAGTAGAAAATATTCGTGCTGTGTTCTTCAGCGGCTCCATCGGAAAAACCCGTTGACGCTTGACACTGCCCCGATCTGCAAATAGTTCAACTGGCAAACTCTGTATACGAGCCTATTTGCAGGACCTGGCCAGAATTTAGCGCTAGGTAAGTCAGCGGCATAGTTCATCGTCTCTCTTTCCTATCAAGGTTATCGCGACCGGCTGCGCCCATCAGGGTTTTTTGGAAGTTCGAGAAAAGTTTTCTCGACGGCTTCGGAGCATCTCCGAAGGCGATAGGCCCTGTGAAGCCTTCGGCCGTAGAGCCGGGTCTGGACTTCAATTTTGGATGTTCAGACTTCAGCATCCCACTTGCGACCGTTGGAACGGATCCCTGGGACGAGTTTCATCCCTTGATTCAGATGTCGCATGGCATCTGACGCAGTACTGTGTGGTCTAGTCTGGATGGAAAATCGGGTCGTCGGTTGAGAATTACTCCAGATCGGCATCGCAGTGTCCACCCTGTAAGGCCATGGTCTCCTTAGTAGAAAGTACACTTCTGCCACCAACTTTCTGAAGTTCCCGTTTACGCACTAGGTTTAGCGCAGGTGCCTTGGGAAGACGGTCGCTTGATTAAGTCATCCGATATTATCGACCCGATAAACCCCACATGGTGCCACTTACAACTTGTTCGCGTATATTAGTGGCTAATATCCCGACACCAGACCACAGCAGGCCTAGTTATAGGAACCTTACTATACTAAATGCAGCATAGCCTGCATCCTTCCTATTATACTAGTTAGCGCTGGGTACTGCTTGCAGAACAGTGGAACACGGGAACTTCAGAAAATTGGCGGCAGAAGTCCCCTGATATTATCTGATGATTCGCCCGCACCACCTAGATAGATACCTAAGGGTGTCTGTCACTATTCGGACACCGGCGATACGCCCACGGCTCCAAGAGTACGATGAGAAGCTGAAACCGACCCTTGAAACTTTAAAAACTGGAGGAGCATCCTTCGGGGCTATCTATCTAGATACGTCCTACGACCACGAGACTACTACAATGATGTAGATACACTATGTAAGTACTCCGTACTACGACGCCCACAGTGCGGGCAAGAGGTAGGCCAGGAACCAAGCCGGCCGATACTCTCAGAAAGCCAATGGGCCAGCCAAAAATCGGCGAGGCGAGTTACCACGGGACAGAATAGGAAGAAGCGCCCATGCCTGCTCCTGAGGGGCTGTGGTACCCGGAGCCAAGCTCCGTTGCCGATGCTGGACCACGTTGGGAAAGGGGCCGCTATCCACTGGCAATCCACCAGGCCCCAGGGGCGATTGAACTTGAAGAGTCGAGATTATTGAAAATACTATCGAGATACACCACAGCTGGCCATTCTAGAACACCTGGTTGCATCGGATGTGGAACGGGGGCGACACCGTAGTGGATTCCATGCCCTAACCGGGGCACGATTCAACGGGTGCTTTGATTATCAAAGCTATTACAGAGTAGATTATTTGAGACTGTGAGGGGCTTCTCCCCCCAGATACTAGGAACGTCCCATACATAGTAGTGGATAGTGTTGCTTCTGAGGAGTCTGAGGATATTCTAGACTGGCCAGTATCAACTCCATCGACATACATGATTGGTGGACGGCACCACAATTGCTGTGACAAAATCGCAGACGTTGTTTGTATCGCGCTCATCACTGGCCCTGGGAGAGCCACCAACGTCATAGCTTCATGTGGTATCTACCCTCCGTACTATGTAGATATCTAGTTACATAGTCCTCCGTATATTAATAATGCACGGAGGAGTCGGAATTGTGCTCACCTCCGCCGCCGTTTCACTTGTTCGGAGAAACTGGCTTGAAACGGCAAGGTGTCAGAAGGGTGGTAAGCAGGCAGTGCCGCAGTACTCCGTACCATTGCGACCTCGGGGCCCGAGGCGGCGATCTATCTAGGGGGGGCGGCTCGTTAAGAAACTCTCTCGCATGCCTGGAACTCCCCTTTTCGTACAAGTCATCCGACAGAGTTTGCATCCCCCTTCTTGTCTGTCGCCCAAGGGGCTCGTTAGGTTGGTTGGTACGGGGTATACGGAGTACTGAGCACACAGGTAGGTAGGTAGGTAGGTAGGTAAATAGTGTCAAGTGTAAAAAGTAAATAAACACCCGATCTTATCGATGATCTCCTGATACGGAGTACTCTGCTTCCTGCTTTTTGTTCACCAAGGGGAGGGGAGGACGGGTGAGAACCGGTTAGAGTAATGCTTAAAGTAGACTATCTACTCCGTGCTCCATAGGGAGAGGTGGGTTTTCCCCTACTATTAGTACAAAGTACAGTAGCCCTGGTCCAAGGGGTTGACCAATCCGCTGGCCAGGCAGGGCGGGGTCAGGGCCACCAGCCGCTGACTTAGCCAAAGGACGCGCAAGCTCTTACCTGATTTCTATTCCTGGCGTGGAGAAGTTGCCCACCTGGTCTCTTCGCTTCCCCTGGCGATTGTGTCCACTTCGTTCCAGTCCCAATAATCCACTTCCTCTCCCTCCCAGTTCCAACTTCCAACCCGGCATTTATCCCTCCCTCATTATTAACCCCATCCCGTCCACTCCCACCCCCCCCCCCCCCTCTCCCCCCCAACCTTGGTCGATCCTCCCAATTTTCCACCTCCCTTTCCTCCCTCTACTGCCATCACCCATACAACCACCTACTCACCACCACCGACTTACCCCTACTATTCATCTGCCTTCACATTTGATTTCCCACACAGTTCCGCCTATCGTTTCCTTCTTTCTTTCTCATAGACCGCGTGTTTTCGTGCCTACTTAGCAACCTCTCCGACCGTCTCCTCCCTTTCGGCCTCGTCATCCGTCTCTCGCTACCTCTCCCCCTTTATCCACTCTCCTCCCGACCGTGCTCGATCTTCGTCGGAACGCGTTGCCCTGCGCCCTCGTTAACCTGGCAGCGCTACTCTCAACACACGCATATTTCCCCTCAGTCTAGTCACCATGGCTACGTTAGCGGAACACCCGGCTGTCGCGCCGTCATCGTTCGACCAGGACATCGAATCCTTCCTCAACCTTGATCAACTTGCCTACACCACCGCCGAGCCAGTCCGCTCGAAGACTGCCCTGGTCAGTCAACCGACCCTTCCAAGCACCGAGTTCAACGCAGGCGAAGTACGAAGTGCTGGTTTCGCTCAGACCAACCCACTACCAGTCGCATACCAAGGCCCCAGTCATCAGTATGATGAGCACAAGCAGCAAACCGGGCTCCCCCCGGGAGCGCTAGCTCACGCCATGACTTTCAACAACCATATGAACGGAATGGGCTACGGTGCTCCGAGCCCTGGATACGCTATGAACGGAGGAGACATGTATGCCGCCAACCAACTGAAGCGCGAGGAGGCTCCGTTGGATTTCAACAGTCCCCCTAGCCGTCCCCACTCGGAGATGGACCTGGAGTCCGACAGTATGGGAACTGTTCCGGCTTACTTTATTTCCCCAAACCCCAGCAACAAGAGTCAGTTTATCGACCCCAACGCCTTGGGAGGCCAGGAGGTTGTCCCCGCGGGTCCATCCACCCAGGTTGGCCGTATGTATCCGGGTATGCACCAGCAGCAAGCTGCGATGGCCAAGGCCGCCCAGCAGCAGAAGCATCACGAACTCCTCCGTCAGCAGCATATCCAGCAACAGCGCCGTGTCGAGGAGCACATGCAGCAGAATGGGGCACCCCACAGTCAAACCCCTCGCCCCCCCAATGCTGGCGTGGATGAACGCATCTCGCGCCTTCTACAGCAAATGCGGCAATCGGCTATGAGCTCTCCTGACGGCTCGCCTTCTCCTTCTATGTTGCCCCAGATGGCCAAGGCCAAGAAGGATGAGCAGGATATGGATGAAGACGAGAGGCTCTTGGCCAGTGAAGAAGGCAAGAAGCTTAGCAGCAAGGAGCGTCGTCAACTTCGGAACAAGGTCTCGGCTCGTGCCTTCCGATCCCGCAGAAAGGGTATGTAGTCCTTTGTTTTCGATACTATGTACTTGCTCGGTCAACTGACCTTTTCTAGAATACATCGGCCAGCTCGAAAGTGAAGTTGCTGCCAAGACCAACGAAGCCCACGACCTTCGTCTTCAAAACCGTGCCCTTTTTGAGGAGAACGCTCGCCTCACTGACCTCGCCCGAATGCTCCTGTCATCCCCGAACTTTTCTCAGTTCCTTGATGAGATGGGCCCCAATGGTGTTTCCATCCCCAGCCATGTGCAACCGCACCCGCACTCGCAGCACCACCAGCATCCTCAACAGCCACAGCCCCAGCAGCAGCCGTCACAACAACAGGCGCCTCTGTCGCAGCCGCCCATGCAGCAGCCCCAAGTTGGCATGGTTATGGTCCCCAACCAAGGACTTGATGTTTCTGCGATGGGACTGAACAACGGTGGCTGGAACTCGGGAATCGACATGAACTACGGCAATGCTAATGTCTTTGCCGTTCTGGAAGTCCCGGAGCCAGTCATCGACACCGAAGCCCTCTCGAGAAAGTCGCCTAGCCTTGGGGAATATTGCCTTCCCAGCATCCCCAGCTCGAAGGACGAGGCCCCTGTCCTGGAGTCTATGCCGACTCTTGTCAAGGCAGAGGGACAGTCTACGATCGGCGTTGAGAACCCGGATATTGTGATTGACGAGTCCGACCCTGCCTTCGCTCTCTTTACGGACAACCCCGCCGCCTCCATCTCCGAGTCCACGACTCTCTTCTCTGGTGTTCCCGCTGGCAAGACCACTCCTGCTTTTGAGCTCGTGGTCGCTGGCGAAGTCCGGGATAGCAGCAAGCGCTTTGCTCATCTCTGCCACAGCATGGAAGCTGCGTTTGAACGTGTTTCCATGATGACTGCTCATCTTTTATGATTCCCTATATTGCGCAATTGAGCCTATTCTATAATGTCAAGCTGGTTCTTCGTTTGCTACTTCTCCTTTTGCTAGTGTTTCAGGGCTCTGGACACTCCATGTAGACACCAATGTTTTTCCTTTGTCGATGATCTTGTGACTATATACTTTTATTTGCTGCCCTTGGTCCTGGTCTCTGTTGGTTGCCCTCATTTATTACTTCTATCTCTTTCTGTTCTTTGTTCGTTCTGGGGGGGTTTGACAGATTTGGTTTTGGTGTATTGTCAAGGGAAAGGTCTTACGGAGGGGAATCTGGGAATTCGGGTATTGCTTGGACTGGCTGTTAAGGAATACAATAAAGACACAAAATCGAAATGATCCAAAAAGTTGAGATCCCATGATTGAATACTCCGTAATGTGACTGTCGCGCGGCGGGCGGTCAGGCAGCAGCTGGCCTGAGGATTCCGAAGGCCAGCGTGGCCATTAACTAGTTAACTAACTTGTTCACTGATAGTCATGTGGCCTCGCTTGTTCCCGCCTTTAGCTCGAGCGATATGCTTCTTGCCTGAGGATTCCTGACCGCCTTGCTACCGTGACTGCCGCGTGTCTGCCTGAGGTGTACAGACCTGCGGGTAGTACAGTAGTGCTGCCGTTTTACCCCATCAAATTTCATCCAAAAAGTACAGTAAACGCATGTTCTTTATTAAGGCAACCAGCTGCCTTGAAATGGATGGGAATAAATGAACAATTATATGTAAGACCTATACCATCGCATGTGTCTTTCTCGGCATCCCAAGATACGCCCACTGAGGAGGGGGGGGGGGGGGGGGGGTGCCATTTATTCGAAAATACTATGTGCAAGTGTTTGAGTGATTGGTTGGTCTTAAACCCTACAGGAAGTGTCGGGTCATACATAGATATAGTATATATGTCTATCGCGAACGTACCTTTTCCCACATGAGCCCGAAGCCTGCGGATAAGTAGTACGGACGGAGTACTAATACTGGCCGGGATGGTGCGCCACCAACCCCAGGTGACCGTCGCGAACTTCATCTCTTGGGATCATAATCCTCTTTTAAAAAAAAAGCCTTCGTCAGTCCGAGCGAGACTGCTAGACTAGAGGGGGCGAGGCGAGGCCTCTTGCTCACAAGGTGATAACAATTATTGAGTTACCGATCTATGGGTACGTTCTCAGCTCCTTATTTGGATTTCCCTCACACGAGTCATACCGAACATGAACATGCTGCGGGTGATTGACAAGCAACGCCTACTGCTCGTCCGTGACTCCTGAAGGTACAGATGGGCGGCCTGTCGGCGTGTTGATCCCAGCACTCGGTTCGATTCCCTGTATAGAGCGGCCTGGAGATGGTTGCCTCGGCGGTCAGGCCTGGATTACTTCCTGTTCGTGGTCTAGGTTGCGGCAAACGATAAAAACAACTTTCTGCTCTACTACCTTAACTAAAGAGAATACGGGCGCAGGATATGAGCAGTTATGTGGTAATACTTGTTCTAATTGGCGAGAATAAGAAAATGATAGTTATAGTTAAGAGGATATCAGTTGAAATGTCAATTTAACCAAGAGGGAAGAAAAGGCGTGCGGTATTACCGGGGGGGGTGGGGGGGGGCAGCCCTCACCGCATTCGAATCATCCGGCAGATTCTCAGTTACTTACCGCCATTACACGTGACATTAGTCCTGCTGCCTGCGATGTCAGGCTCCCGATCCCATCAGGCCGCTGATGCCCGAACATGATTTAATGGATCTCTCGCTTAGCTGCTGTAGAAAGGAAGCCGCAAAGAGACATAGGTTTCAATCCATCTTCCCTTGGGTGCCCTCCATTCCCCGACATTGTTCTTCTTGTTATTATTTTTTTCCCTTGATTTTTATTACCATCATTCAAATGTGGTCGACCCGCCGACCAACGGAGTGAGCCAATCTAATCAGATCCGGCCTGAGCCCGAATTCTCCAAAGATAATCGTAGATTGAATATTACACCGTAAGTATCAACCCGTCTGTTTGTCTTGGGGTACTGGGTCAGGGCGTGGGAATACCAAGGTTTGTACGGCGTAGTTCGCACCAGTAAAAAATTAATTCCGCCGGTCCGCGGGTTCCCTCGGCTGGCTTTGGCATCGTGCAGCTTTCCTGCATACCATTGAAGATTATCCCATTCTATGATCATTATTCTGTGTCCTACATGCTTGGATAGTTTCTCTTGGACAATAATGTCTCTGTAGTGAGCATGATCCAGAGGTTCTTCCTTATTCCTGTCATTGAGAATGCAATTGAAACTTAACTTTTCTAGAGCAAATCTCACCCCCCCCCCCCCGGATACCAGCCCAAACCAGCGGTTCCAACCGCCTGCACCTGCAAGTTGTGCGTTTTTCGTTTTCGTTTTCCTTTCCTTTCCTTTCCTACTTTCCCGTCAACGGTGGTGGATCGGTTTCGCGTGCTGGCCGGCCCACAATAGATTGATAGCGTATCATACACAGTCAGTGTATCAGGTATCCATTCCCATTATTTCCCACAGCGAAATACCTGGTATTCCTAGCGCGGTCGGGTACAGTGGGGTACACCGCACTGTCACAGGAAATAGGCGCACCCTGCACCTCACACTCACAACCTCTCTCCTCTCTATCTATCTACCTACACCAAGAGAATCACAGACTTCGGCTGCCCTGGTTTGATTTGATCCGGTCGACCCCACCAAGCCTCCGGATCTGATTATTTATCCCACCATGATAAATAGATAGAATAAAGGAAGTGGTGCTCGATGATGGATTGTCTCAGGGAGTAAGTCTTACCTAATTGCATTTTTGCAAGCCGTTTAATCTAGAGCCCCGCCAAGGCGCTACGCGGATCAGATAACTTTTTTTGCGCGTGAAATTATTACGGCGCGGTCTGTCTCACTTTGGTCGCTTTTCCTTGTTTAGCGTGGCTCGGCGGGGTCGGTCTGTGCTGCAGTGGTTGGTAATTTCTGCATGCCCCTCCTTTTTTTTTTTGTGTTGTTGTTGTTGCACTGTACTGACAGTATGTATCTAGTACCGAACGAAGTACGGCGGAGTACCAAGAGAGGGGGGGATTGGAGCTGATGGAGCTCCGAAGACTAACTAACCACCCAGCCGATCTCGGTAGAATTGGAATGATGCTTCACGGCTCGTTCGGCAACAGTCGACGGCTGACTCAACTGCTGGTTGGGTAGATAAACAGACAGACAGTTCGATACGAATAATAAGGCCATGTGGACCACTCCGTCACTGCAGTCTGCAGAGTCTCTCTCTCCCTCTCTCTAGTCGGTGAATTTAATCCAACTAACCCTCTTTCCCCCTCTTTTCCCCTCCCCCCTCTATTCACCCCTACACCAAATCCAGCCGGGCTGCCTCCAGAATAATGGGCAACACACACGCGCAAAACACGCAGGAGCCGGAGCCAGAGGCTGTTGGGGCCATGGCTACCAATTCCAACCCCGGGTTAATCGAGATGGCTGGTCTGGCGTCCGACCAGACTCCCACCCGGATGAAGGAGGAGATTGTCCTGCTGGCCTGGTTGATTGTGCTGCTGCGCACGAGAGAAGACGGGCAGGTCGAGTTCGAGTGGGCGTATGACGACCAGCAGCCGACCAAGTGCGTGTCGACCGAGGTGTTGGCTGGCTTGCAGAGCAGCGTGGGGGAGGCGGCGGATGCTATCGCGCGGCATGTCGCCGCCGCTGCGAGCCGGCCTGTCTCTGCCTCGTCCATCGTGCTCAGCACCGGGTCGTTGTCGCAATCGCCTGGTGAGGGTCAAGATGAGGTGCGCTCCTCCTTAACCCATCGAACACTACCAAAAGTCGTCGTGTTTGCCTACTGACCACCCACTTATCCACAGGGCACCATCCACCTCACCCTCACCTACACCCCGATCACCAACACCCTCACCATCCACCCGACCTGGACCACCCCCAACACCCTCCCCTACACCATCACCCGCCATATCACCCGGCTCCACGACACACTCACTCTCCTCCTCTCCCCGGACATCAACACCACCACCACCACCATCCAATCCACCCTCCGTCCCACGCCCACCGACCTCTCCGACCTCTGGACCTGGAACCACGTCCTCCCACCCACCTACGACTTCTGCACAAACACCCTCATCACCGAACGCGCGCACAGCCTGCGCGACAAGCCCGCCATCGACTCCTGGGACGGGACCCTTACCTATTCCCAGATCGAACGGTACTCCACGCACGTGGCCCTCGCCCTGAAGGACCTGGGGCTGCAACAAGGCGACTTCGTGCCGATCTGCTTCGAGAAGTCCCGATGGACGATCGTCGCGGTGCTCGCTGTGATGAAAGCGGGCGGCACGTTCGCGCTGATGGATCCGACGCTGCCGCTAGCGAGATTGCAGAACATGGCCGTGCAGGTTTCTGCGCAGGTGATGATCTCGTCGCGGGGCCAGGCGGAGCTCTCGCGGGATATTCTTCCGGAGGGGAAGTTCTTCGTCGTGGAGGAGGAAGCCTTCCCGGAGGGGGCTGTCCCCCGGCTGGAAGAGACGCCGCAGCTGCCGCCGGTGCCCGCGGATACGCTGATGTACCTCATCTTCACGTCCGGCAGCACGGGCACGCCCAAGGGCGTGCAGATCTCGCACAAAACCTACACCAGCAGCGCGATCCCCCGCGCCAAGGCGGTCGGGTATACCGAGGACTCCCGCGTCCTGGACTTTGCGTCGTACGCGTTCGACGTCAGTATCGACAGCATGCTACTGACCCTGTCCAACGGCGGCTGTCTGTGCATCCCGTCCGACGAGGATCGGCTGAACGATATCAACGGGGTGATTCGGAACATGCGCGTCAACTACGCGGGCATCACGCCGTCCGTGGCCCGGATCCTGGAGCCCGACGTGATCGCGTCGCTGGCCGGGCTGGGACTGGGCGGGGAGGCTGCGTCCGCGAGGGATGTCACCCTCTGGGGGAAGGACACGAGGATCATCATCGGGTATGGCCCATGCGAATGCACCATTGGATGCACGGTGAACGGGGATACGGCGACAGGGCGGGATTACATCTCGATTGGCACGGGGAATGGGGCGGTGATCTGGATTGTGGACCCGAGTGACCACGAGAAACTCATGCCGGTCGGGGCGGTCGGGGAGTTGCTGGTCGAGGGGCCGATTGTTGGGCAGGGCTATCTGGGCGATGCGGACAAGACGGCGGCGGCCTTCATCGAGGATCCGGCGTGGTTGAGGCGCGGGGCGGCGGGGTTCGCGGGCCGCAAGGGGAGGCTATACAAGACGGGCGATCTGGGCAAGTACGACCCCGATGGCTCGGCGGGGATTGTCTTTGCGGGCCGGAAGGATACGCAGGTGAAGTTGCGCGGGCAGCGCGTCGAGCTGGGCGAGATCGAGAGTCAGTTGAAGGGGCGATTGCCGGCCGACGTGACCGTCATCGCCGAGGTGATTGTGCCGCAGGGGACTGGCGGCCAGGCGACGCTGATTGCCTTCGTCGCATCGCAGTCGGTGAAGGCTGGCGACATCACCGCCGTCGAGTTCCCCGAGGCGCTGCGCAGGACGCTGGCCGACGCCGACGCCGAGGTCAAGACGGTGTTGCCGCGCTACATGGTGCCCACGGCCTACATCCCCGTCAGCCACATCCCCGTCCTGATTTCCGGCAAGACCGATCGCAGGCGCCTGAGGCAGTTTGGCGCCACCGTCGACTTGAGGCTGCTGGACCAGGACGCCGCCGCCACCACCGCCGACCGCGCCCTGAGTGAGTTGGAGACCAGGCTGCGGCAGGCCTGGAGTGAGACCCTGAAGCTGCAGCCCGACGCCATTCGGCCACACGACAACTTCTTCGCGCTCGGCGGTGACTCGCTGGCCGCCATGAGGCTGGCCTCGGTGTGTCGCGCCCAGGGGCTCGACCTGTCCGTCGCCAACACCTTTGGCCATCCCACCCTGTCGGCCATGGCCGGCTGTGTCCGCATCTGCGATGTCGACGAGGAGACCGTCACGCCGGCCTTTTCGCTGATCGCCCAGGGGGAGGACAGCGCGTGCCGCGAGGCCGCCGAGCTGTATGGCTTCGATCAACAGGCCATCGAGGATATCTACCCCTGCACCCCCACCCAGGAGTCCCTCTTCACCTTCTCGCTGAAGTCGGTCAAGGCCTACGTCGCGCAGCGCGTGTCGACCATCCCGTCCGACGTCGACCTGGACGACTGGAAGAAGGCCTGGGAGGCCGTCGCCGCCGCCATCCCGATCCTGCGCACGCGCGTCGCGCAGCTCCAAGAGCCCGGGCTCCAGCAGATCGTCCTGAAGGAAGGCGTCTCGTGGAAGTCGGCCACCGATCTGGCGCAGTACCTCGAAGCGGACCGCGCGGAGAAGATGAACCTGGGCGATCGCCTGGCGCGATATGCCATCGTCTCCCAGCCCGACGGCACGCGGTGCATGGTGTGGACCGTCCACCATGTCCTGTACGACGGCTGGTCCGAACCCCTGATTCTCAAGAAGGTCAGCGACGCCCTGCAGGGCCAGCAGCCCGAGATTCAGGCCCAGATGCGCGACTTCGTCCAGTACGTGCGGGCCACCGACGAGACGGCCATGGAGGAGTTCTGGCGTCGCGAACTGAAGGGCGCCGTCGGGCCGCAATTCCCTGGCCTGCCTTCGCGAGACTATCTCCCCATCCCGGATGCCCTGATTGAGCACCAGATCCCGCTCGACACGGTGTCCGGGTCGCCGTTCACCCTAGCGACGCTGATCCGCGGTGCCTGGGCTCTGGTCTCGTCGCAGTACACCGGCAACGACGACGTCGTGTTCGGGGAGACGCTGACCGGCCGCGACATCTCGCTGGCGGGCGTCGACAGCATCGTCGGCCCCCTGATCGCCACCGTCCCCGTGCGCATCCACATCCACCGTGCCGGCTCCGTCGAGTCCTTCCTGCAGGCCGTGCAGCAGGGCATCCTGGCCCGCACCCCGTACCAGCACATGGGCATGCAGCATATCCGCAAGGTCAGCCACGACGCGCAGCACGCCTGCGAGGCGCCGACCGGACTCGTGGTCCAGCCCGACCCCGAGTACGTGGGCAGCGAGCTGGGCTTCCAGCTCGGCGACGTCGTGCGCGAGGCGCTGCACTTCAACCCGTACCCTCTGATGCTGGCCTGCGGCATCCGCAAGGGCGGGTTCCGCGTCTGCGCCAGTTTCGACAGCAGCTTGGTGGCCGTGCCGCAGATGGAGCGCATCCTGGTGCAGCTGGAGATGGCTGTCAGGCAGCTGAGCGGCGGTCTTTCTCGCCGCATCGACGAGATCTCCTGTCTTCCGGAGGCCGAGCTGAACCAGATCTGGCGGTGGAACTCCACCCCCCCGCTGTCGGTGCATCAGAACCGACTCCGCGCCGACGAGGGCATCAAGCAGGGCCAGTCCTACCCCCCCGTGGTCGTGCCGTGGGTGTGTGACCCGCGCAACCCGGTACTGCTGTCGCCCATCGGCTGCGTGGGTGAGCTCTGGCTGGAGGGGGGTCTGGCTGGCGACACGGTGGAGTCGCCTGTGTGGCTGCTGGCAGGCAGTTCGTCCTGTGCTGGCCGGACAGGCCGCGTGCAGGCGACGGGGGATCTGGTGCAGCTGACGGAGGACAACAGTCTGGTGTTTGTAGGCCGCAAGGAGAACGTCGTGTCTGTGCAGGGCCACCCCGTCAACATCGCCGACATCGAGGCCCAGTTCGCGAAGCATCTGCCGTCGAACATCCGCGCGTCTGCAGCCGTGTCCCACACGGAGGATCCCCAGCTGCTGGTCTTCATCGAACAGCCGGTCTCTGACGGAAACGACATCGCGCTGATCCCGTCCCCACACGAGATCCTCTGCGCGGGCTCGCAACCCTTCGAGGCCACCATCTGCGCCACCATCCCCGTCACCCTCGCCGTGGCCCTACGCAAGCTGGACAAGTTCATCACCGACAGCCTCCCATCGTACATGGCCCCGTCGGCCTATGTCATCATCGACCGCCTGCTCAGCCACGCGCTCCTCACCCAGCTCGCCACGGCCATCCCAATGTCCATCCTCTCCCAGCTCCGCGACGGCTTCAAGTCAGCCTGCACGGCCAGCTCCGTACAGACAACCCTAACCCCCAACGAGAAGATCCTCCAGATGGCATGGGCCAAGGTCCTCCGCCTGACGCCTGAGCAAATCGACGTCGACGACAACTTCTTCCGCCTCGGCGGCGACTCCGTGCTCGCGATGAAACTGGTTTCCAGCCTACGAAGCCAAGGGCACAGCCTCTCGGTAGCAGACATCTTCCAGCGGATGCGTCTCGGCGACGCAGCCACGGCACTCAAGACCCTGCGATCTGTCCCGACGATCCAGCCCTACAAGACATTCTCGACTCTCGGCCCCGTTGATCTACCCACCTTCCTGGACACCGTGCGTCCTCAACTCGCTGATCCGGCCTGGACAATCACCGACGTTCTCCCGGTCACCGACTCGCAGGCCCTGGATATCCGCGCCACTGTCACCCCGCCACGGACCTCGATCCAATACACAATGCTCCATCTGAAGTCCATCGACCGGGAACGTCTCCTTCGTGCCTGCCATGACCTCGTCAAGAGACACGAGATCCTCCGTACGGTATTCATCGCCCACGGGACCTCCTTCCTACAAGTCGTCCTCGACAACCCCATCGCCTCGATCACCACCCACCAGACCACGTCAAACCTGAGCGAGTCCGTCCGCACCCTCTGCACGGCAGACAGTGACTCCCCCTTCCCACTCGGCTCCTCCTTTGTCCGCATCTTCCTCGTCGAGGACACTGACTCGGGAGAATCCTGTCTCGTTCTGGGTCTCTCCCACGCCCTTTACGACGGCGTGTCTCTCCCGGCCCTTCTGACCGACCTTAACACCCTCTATTCGTCCACTGGATCTGGCTCTGGCAGTGACAGTGGCACTCTGGGCCCGGCGAAGCCCTTCAGCGCGTACATCTCACACACGCTCTCCCCGCAGACCCAGACCCCGGCAAAGGCATACTGGCGGGACCTCCTAACGGGCTCCGCGCTCACCCCATCCCCATCCGGTACCGAACCCACCATGCTACCGAAAAAGGCCATCTTCATCAGCGAGCCCACCTCGATCGCCACCCCCATCCAAAACTCAATCACCACAGCCACCCTCCTCACCGCCTCCTGGGCCCTTCTTCTCGCGCGCACCCTGCACCAAACCGATCTCGTCTTCGGGGCGGTCACGTCGGGCCGCACGCCGCATCTGCCGTTATCCGACATCGAAGATGTCAACGGGCCATGCTACGCCCTCACCCCCGTGCGCGTGGCCTTTGAGCCCGGGTGGACTGCACTCGACCTGTTGAAATACGTCCAGGGCCAGAGCGCCACCTCCTCATCCTACGACTTCCTCGGCTTCGAGAAGATTTCTGAGCAATGCGGCTGGACCACCAGTTCCGTGAGTGATGGTGACAGTGCACCTGCGTCTGGATATTTCGGTTCCATCGTGCACCACCAGGACTGGGACGACGCGGACAGCATGTCCTTTGGGGGGAAGGAGTGCGGGGTGGATCTTCTCACCCCGGCGGGTGATTCGGCGCAGCCGATGAAGGTTGTTTCGTTTGTGAAGGCGGGGGTGGTCCATGTGGGGGTGGTGGGGTGGGAGAATGAGGGGGAGGATAAGGGGGAGTTTGTGAGGGGACTCGTGCGGGGTTTGAGCGGCGTGGTGGAGGAGTTGGCTGTGGCTACTGGGGGTGATGGCTTGTTACGGTTTGAATGATGGGGTTACGCTGTGTTGTTTATATAGATGGATAGATAGATAGATGCCCAGTTGTCATATGCCGCTTTGTTAATAGTATTTTCTCTTTTTGGCCTCTCCCCCCCTCCCCTCACCATTCACCGCAGTAAACCAGTTGATTCTTCTATCATGGCGTCGTGGCAATTACCGCGACCTCGCGCGCGATCACCAAGGCTGAGTGAGATGCGGGATGCATGCTACAGGGAGGCAATGCGACAGTGCGAGGATATTGCCAGGTTGATTGGCGCGACGGCCCCCCCATTCGTGTGGATGTTCGACGGTGGAGAGAAAGAGAGAAAGGTCGCGGTTCGCTGGTTTTTGATGTTAATAGGAAGCTTGTATGTATGTATGTATGTATATGTGTGCCTCCCTCCCTGTGTGTCTATGAGGATGAGGATGAGTGAGGAAGATCCGGTACTGAAACGCAGTAGAATATGACGGGACCGGGACGCCCCGGTCGCGAAGATTCTCGACACCGCCACAGTCACTGCGGAGAGAAATATACGGTCATGGCCGACCGGATACTAATACTAATAATACTACTTACCTCAGCCAAGCCAAGCCCCCTTCCGATTCCGCTTCCGCTTCCGATCCGAAACAGGCCTCCCCATCCCTTTCGGAACCCTTCGCTTTTCTGCGGGGTTCGATTCGCCTCCCAAGCCCTCACAATAACAATAATAATAGCGGCCTTCGCCTGCCGATCGGTCGACAGACAGTCATGTGTGTGCATCCAGCCTGACCCGACGGACGACTAGCCCCTCGGAATAAGACCCGGCGCAATATCCCCTCCGCCCATTGCCGAAATTCGCCTGCTGAGCCTGAGCTAGCTGCCAGTTGCATATATATTCCTTGGATGTCCCCCACATCCCCGCAGACGATACGATACGAGATAACTTTTTCATTCGCGGTTTACGCAGACCTCGCTATAGCTAGCTCGCTCCTCCTCCCCCTTCCCGATCTACCTGCGGGATTGGAAATGAAAAGTGTGTTTTTTGGACTGTACACATAGCAATCCTCTATAACTCCAGCTCAGCTCGTCTATCAGAGATCGATCAATGAAGGCGACGATGGCGGACGAATACTCGCCTGTTCACGAGGCGGGTCGTATCTTCAGGTACCTGTGCGATCAGGCCGAGCGTCTGAGTCTGCCTGCTGAGGTGGCGGAGGGGAAAGATGCCGTGCTGTTCTCGTCTACTCATGACCAGATTTACTACCCGATTCCGTTCAAGGAGACCGAGACCTTGGCGGCATTGAAGGGTGTCGAGGGGCTGGTGGCCGGTGCGATTGCGGATCTGGGATACGGACCGTCTGCGCAAAAGCGCCACGTGAGGATCAGCCTGGAGCGGGCCACGGCATTTGGGTGCCAGGCGTACATGGCCAAGGTGGATGGGCTATCAAAGTTAGACCCTGAGGTCAAGAAGAAGCTGAAAGGTAGGTTTGGTGGTTACGGGGGGTTTGAGGGGCTCCTGGGCTGATGTGTTCTAAGACACGGACTTGCTCGCAGCCCAGTCGAATGGCTACCGTCGCATGTCCGCGAATCTCTATAAGACCAGGAACCCGCACGAGTTCTTCCACATCCACGGCTCGTTGGAGGCCACGACAACGCTCAACATGATCGGCTTGGAAGGGCAGCGGCCGGATTTATCGGATTACGAAGAGATCATTCAAGTGATCGAGGGCCAGGTGCAGAAGTTCAGTGCGGCGGAGTTGGAGGAGATGAATAAGGAGAGGAGACAGGCCGGGGTGACGGCTTTCAAGTATGAAGATTTCGTCAAAACGCCACATGTACGGGATTCTGTGCTTTGCAATACGGATAATTGATGATACTGATGGATGTATTGCCAGGGTAAACTCAACGTGCAGGAGCCCCCGTGGAAGGTCACCCGCTTGAGCGGCAATCTACCCCCGACGCCCTTCCCTGCTAGCCGCAGCGGAGGCAAGAGGATCCTGGAGGGAGTCAAGGTCCTAGAGCTCTGCCGTATCATCGCTGGTCCTACCATTGCGCGTATCCTGGCAGAGTACGGAGCGGATGTCTTGAAGATTACCAGCCCCAGTCTGTCCGACGTGCCTTTCTTCCAAGTGGATGGTAACATGGGCAAGCACGCTGCGGACCTGGATCTGAAGTCCGAAGAAGGGCGCCGGCAGTTCGAAGAGCTGCTGGCCGACGCAGATGTCCTCGTGGATGGATACCGGCCGGGAGCCCTTGAGAAGCTGGGATACGGACCCGACGCGCTGGCAGCTCTTGGAGAAAAGCGCGGAAAGGGCTACGTCTACGTGAACGAGAACTGTTTTGGATACGAGGGAGAATGGGCCGGTCGTCCCGGCTGGCAGCAGATCGCGGACTGCGTGAGTACGCCCCCGTCGACGGGATCAGATCTCTCGAGCGACAGCTAATCCGAAGTACAGGTGACGGGGATCGCCTGGGCCCAGGGAGAATTCATGGGTCTCTCAACGCCCGTGGTGCCCCCGTTCCCCATCTCCGACTACGGCACCGGCTGCATGGGCGCGATTGCCGCGCTGACCGGTCTCTACCACCGCGCCAACCAGGGCGGCTCGTACCACGCCAAGGCGTCCTTGATGCACTACGATCTCCTCCTCTTCGCCGTGGGCAAGTACTCGGATGCCGTGCAGGACAAGATGCGCGCCGCGCAGCCGGCGGATTTCTTCAACTTGCGTCACTGCGACAGTGTCGACCGCATCTCGTCCACCGTGCTGAAGATCATGCAGCGTGGCTTCCCGCATCTGTACGAGGGCCCCGGTGGTCCCGCCGCACTCACGGAGACCTGGTTCTCCCACGCCTACAACGCCGACATCGAGGTGGTCCGCCCCATTGCGGACATCGATGGCGTCGATAACCGGTTCTTCCGCGCCAGTCGACCGAATGGAGCAGATCGCGCGAGCTGGGAGGATTTCGCCAAGGATGAGCCGGATGTCAGAAAGGCTTAGTAGATTGAAGATTCTTGAGATGATTCTTAGACTATACGGTGGTTATACTGAGCTTTAGCCCATATCAGTAAATACTAAATCCGACCCTGAACCTTATGCTACTACTTTTGAAGATAGACAATAAACCCAACCCGTTTAGAATATATATATATATATATATATAATTCTAGGAGTCCCTAATCAACATATATAGTAATTTTCGCTTTCAGGTTTCTTCTGTACCAGCCTTCTTATTGGCCAATTCTGCAAAATACATATTTTGAGGCCTCTATTTAGTTAGTTCCTACGGGTAGGTATACTACTCCTGTTAACATTGAACATTATTCAATTCCTATCAAATTTGCTTCTTTCTGCCACTGTCTTATACCATTACTACTACTACTACTACTACTACTACTAATACTACTACTACTACTACTACTACTACTACTGCTGCTGCTGCTGCTGCTGCTGCTGCTTTACTATCATTACCGACATACTGCTCCACTCCTCCTTTCTACATACACCACTACTTTTCACTCACATACAACACTACTTTTCACTCCTCCTTTCCACTTACTCTACAGATAATCGCGCTAAATGGCATATAAATATTTATTCATCTTTACCCAAGTCTATACGCTTGTATACGCGCCCCCCAAGGTCTTGTAATTATTCAAATCCTACTCCCTCTGTTACGGAACATCCGCCACCCAATTCCGACAGGCCAAGACGGATGGATGGCAAACACCCCAACGATACGATCGGATGAGTTGCCTTCCCCCTATCGGATAGGGAACGCACGTGAGCAATCACGTGATAATATTCGGCGGGATAGTCATGTGATGTGACTATGGGGGTGTTTGGAGTAACTAGTTAGATAGTTAACTAGTTACTCTGGATTATTACCCCGCACGGCGGGCCTTACGGAACACGCCCTCTACTAACTACGTCATGCGGGGGGATTTGCTTAGTGCCACGCGCGTGAGATGATCCTTGAAAGAATCAAATTATAGTATATTCAACCCTTGGGGGCAACTACCCTACCACGGATGAATCTATCGATATCAAATTGATTGGATCGTGCCCTGGTGGCGGGACCCTGGGGCAATTACTATTATTGAATCTCACTTTCTAGGTCTACTAGTGATGTATCCACCACTCATCTGTGGACAAATTGAGAAGATTATTAGCCTTTAGCTTTTTGCCTGCGTGCGGGCAATCCAGCGGTTCTGGGACCGTCATAGCCAAAGAAATTGCTGATTTTTTTTAATTTAATATCTATGCTGGAGAGGTTCTATTCGCCTGGGATATGCTGGAATCCAGTTCCATGTATTTATCTATTGGTACGGCCAATCAATGGTTCGGTACCGCGAAAGTAAAGGCACAAACTTGAAAAAAAAAAAAAAAGAAAAAAGGAACTCTACGGTTATCCCACCCACTAGCCAGTAGCCACCAACACAAACCCAACCATCATAGCGAATCGCTTCACTTGCCCCCCTTCCCCTTCAAACCCCACTCGCCTGCTTCTCCAACTCCATCTGCCGGCGCGACTCCCTCCCCTTTTCAGACCAGGGAAAATGGAACACGGGAATGAGGAAGAAGCTATTGCTATCGTCCAGAAGACCCGCCAGAGCGATATACCAGGCATCAAACGCCCCAAGCAAGGCAAACAGACCTCCTGCTTTGATGACCCGCTCGTTGGGGGCGTCCTGTCCATCGCGGTGCAAGTAACCAATAGCCAGGAGGAGGAGGGCAACGTCGACAAGGAAGAAGAGGATGCTGAACGCAAAGGTGGACTTGAGAGTGCAGATCCACAGGATGAATGTGAATATAAACCACCCCTAGGGTTAGAATGAAGATTAGTATTTCGCATCGGGGGGAAAGTGCATAAGGTGGAAAAGGGGAGAGCGAACCATAAGAAACAGCCCGAAGGAATCGTAGAACATGACGGAGCTCCCATTGTCGGCTTTGATGAGCGCCGCTTGGATGTTGAATCCGCCCGGTATGAAGATCATGGCGAGAGAGATCCAGAAGCCGCCGTAGGACGATAGGGCCGTTGCGCCGAAGGTATTTCCGGCGGCCATTTCCCTAAGAAAAATGCATAGTTAGTCATGGTTACTCTTTTTTTTTTTTTCCAAATCAAGGCGTTGGGTTTAATCTTACCACATGCCAGCTAGCAACTGTACTAGACCTCCATACGCCATAGCCGGACCGACAATGATATTAGGTACGGTAATGCCGCGCGTTTGCATGTTGATGGTTCCCAGGAGGAAGGTTGTCAGCGCGAATCCGCACAGACCCAACGGGGCGGGATTCGCCATCCGGCGCTTGGGAGGCCGCCAAAGACCGGGTTGCAGCTCGCCGCCAAACGCGGGGAGTTGGGTCTGCGCGGTGTCAACATGCGCGAGGGGACCGAAGGAGCCATAATCGGCATTCGACGATTCAACGTGGCTCACTCCGTAGGAAGCATAGTCAATGGTGGAGGAATCAATTGGGTCGATAGAGTCGTCGGTTGAGGAAGGGGCGGCGGGGACCGGGTTATTGGTGGAGGATTTATTGTGGGTGGTGGTCATCTTGAGGGTTCAAGAAGGCAGGCAGATGGCAGAGAAGAAATCAAGATTGTGAGGACTCTCGGGGTTGGATAAGTTATCTACTTAAATAAGTAGGCCAGTCCGCCGCATAGGATCCAAGTCACTCGTCGCATCAGGGCTCTCAAAGGCGGGGGATCGACATAATGTGAAGATCCGTTGACGCGTGGTGGAGAAAAGCTTGACGATTGAAAAGGCACGGCGACGACAACCATTCGATTCTCGAAGGTAGTCTACTTTTTGAGATGTTCATGATGTTCGTGCTGGGATCATAATTGGCGGATGATAGAGATGATCCACCAGAGTAGTGGGGTGTAGCGGGCCAAGGGAAGGCAGTTTTTTAGGGCTGGTGGAGTCGACCTGCCTGATGCGGAGAAAGCTCCCCAGATCCGGGTGGCAGATACTCCGTAACGGGGTGTTTAATTTTCGAATCGTAAGAGATCGCTGCGGAGAAGGGCCATGTGGATTGGATTATTATTCATCTTCCATAGTAGTAGTAGTAGTACTAATAATAATAATAATATTGCCGAGAATTGCTGCTAATCCGACTTAGTTAGTATCAAGTGGAACGAGGGCTTGGCATGATAACAGAACAAGATTTAGCCCTTCAACCCCTGATCAACCTGGATCAGTCTATATATAATCTTATATATAACTTTATATATATCTGATTATTATCTGATTCTATATTTATATAATCTAACTGTCTGCGCAGCAATATTATAGAATTAGATTTTTATTATATTATTATTCTAGATCTGATAGTTATAAGCCTGATTAGTTATTTTATTTAATTATATTTTATATTATTATTAAAAGAAGTTTTTAATTAAATTATTAAATTATCTTTAATTAATTAAATTAATTGATTAATTATACTTTTTAATTAGAAAATTATAAAGTTATATAAATAAGCAGAATAATAGATATTTTAAAAATTTTTATAATATTAAAGATACTATATAAGAACTTTTCTTAAGAAGTAAGAACTTTTCTTAAGAAGACTTTATTAAACTTTCACTTTCTTATATAAATTAGATGCAAAAGTAAGATAAAAGTGAGAGAAAAATAAGAGAAGTAAAAAATAAGAAAAATTAAAGATTAGATAATTAAGTAAGAACTTTTCTCTGATCTCTTAGAAAGACTTTACTAAACTCTTATTTTCTTATATAAATTAGATATAAAAATAAGATAAAAGTAAGATAAAGATAAAAGAAAGATAAGAAAAAGATAAAAAAAATAATAAAAAAAATTAAAGATTAGAAAGAGACTAAAAACTGATTTAATTTAATTAAAACTTATTAAAAAACTAATTAAAAACTAAGAAATCTTTTTATTTATATTTATAATCAATTGGCTATTAAAAATATATAAAAATATATAAAATTATATAAAAATTATATAAAAATTATATAAATAGAACAGGGCTGAGAATAATAAAATCAGTAGTTAAATAAAGATTAGAATAATTAATAAAAATAAGATCTTTTACTTTGCTATAGAATAGATAGAACTTAGAATTATTAGTCTATTAATTAATAATTTAAGATAGTCAACTAATCTAAGACTGTAAACTAATAAGTCTTAGACAGTAAATTAATAAATTTATTTATATTATTAATATATTCCCGCAGTTTTGATAAGATAAAATATCAGAAAAACTGAAATAAATAAATTACTAAAAATAGAAAATAATAATAATAAAATTTAATAAATTATTATATTTAATTATTTAATAAATTAAGTATATTTCTGATTAAGAAACTGCTTAGTTAAATTATCTGCTTATATTTTATTAATAAATATTTATTAAATATTAATTATTTTATTCAGAGCTTCTTGTCTTAATTAATAATTAATAATATTATTATATTTTAGACTAGTTCAAAATAGAAAATTCTTATTAGTAAAAATTTTAACTATTTAATAATTATTATATAATATAGAGAAGTATTAATTAGAATTAAATCTTATTTATTTAAAAAATCTTTTTTATTAAAGAAATTATTTAGCTGTAGTAGTTAGAGCTAATAATTTAGTTTTAATAATTAAAAAAATTATATAATACTGTTTTTTGCTTAGCTTATTAATAAAATTATTAAATAAATAAATAATATATTTTATTAAACTAGTATAATCTTGATTATTAGCAAAACTAGTATTATTAATTATTTAAAATAAAATAGAGCTAGAGCTAAATTTAATAATTAAGTTCTTTGTTTTTTTTAAATAAAAGATTAAATAATTTATAATTCTGAGATATTTAGGGCTTGGATTAATTAGATATTCTAAAATTAACTAATATAATTTAATAATATTAGATCTAGTCTAAACTATAGAATATAGAACTGATTCTACTTTCTACTAAAATTTATAAATTTAATTAATAATAGTCTGATAAAATAAATTTTTTATTAATTTCTTACTTAAAAGTAAGAATTTAGAGCTTTTTCTTTACTCTAAATTAAATTTATTAATAATTTTATTAATATAGTTTAATTATTAAATCCACAACTTTCTATTTAGACGATTATATAAGATTTAAATATTAAGAAATAAATTAATCTCTTTAAGATCTTTGAATTTAAATAATATTATTAATTCTTACTTAAATTTATTAAATTTTTAATAATTTAATTTATAAAATATATAAATTATATTATTTATAAAAATTATTAAAATTATAAATTTATTAATAAAGATATATTAATCTTTCTAAATAAACTTAAGCCCTAGGACTATTAGTCTCTGTTTTAGAGTATTTTATTAAAAAAATAATAAATATTTTAATTTATATAAAGCTTTTTATAATAAAAAAACTATTTATTTATTTTCTAATTCAGAAATTAGATCTATATAGATTTTCTTCTTAATAAGACTATTAAAAAAGATAATAATTATATTTAGTTAATTAATTTCCAGATTAAACACAGTAATTAAAATTAAAAAAATCTATATAAATCTGACTATAAGAATACTAGTATATATTTTTAATTAATCAGATATCTATAAATTATTTTTAATATAAATTTAGATTTTAAAATTAGTTAGATAATTAGTTTTATTAAATTTATATAAAAATATCTATTTTAATAGTAATACTTCAGTTCTATTAGTTTTATAAATTAAATATATATTCTAAGTATTTAAAGCTTTTAATTAATTAATTTTAGTTTTGGCAGTCTGAGTAAATTAGTTTAAAAATATATAATTTTTTATTTCTTGCTAGTTAATAAACAGAGATAAAAGTAATAAGAAATTAATATAAAGAATTTTATTTTTATTAATATAATTAATTATTATTTAAATAATTTAAAGAATAAGTCTAGTTTTTTTAAAATTAGAATTAAATAATTCTGAGCGGGTCTATTTCAGATCTTTAATTAATTTAATATCTAAGAACTCAGTTTTATTAATCAGTTTATTAATATTTAAATTATTAATAAGAATCTGAGGCAGTAAAAAAGATAAATTAAATAATAAAAATAATAAATCTTCTATAATTATATTATTATTTTATAAGATATTTAACTAATTATTTAAAACTGCTAACTAGCTTAATTTAATAATTAACTAATCTAAGATTACTAACTGATCTTATTTTAATTAATTATCTAATAAAAATTCAGATATTTGTTTTAATATTTCTGAATTAAAAAAATTCTTCTTTATATTAGATTTTTTAGATTCTTCAGAAATAGAGATATCTAATTATTTTAATTAAATAGAATTAACTAATTTAATTATTTTTTATTTTATTAATAGATTTTCTAATTCAGTATATTATTTATAATTAAAATTTTTATTAAAAATAATATTACAAGCCGAAATTATTTTTTTAAAAATAGATATCTAGATCTACTAAATATTAATTATTTAATAGTTAATTAAATAATTAATTAGAGCTCTGAGCTCTAGTTTATTTTTTTTAAATAAATTACTAATTTAAGTATAGATATATAATCTATATTTTCTTAAATAGAAAATATCTAGTTTCTTAGATAATTATAAAAGACTTTTTTAGATAATTTTATATAATATTTTTTAATTTAATTATTTATTTAATATTCTGTTTAAAATAAAAATAGTTAAATTTATTATTTCAGACTATAAAAATATAGAAAGTCCTAAATTAATTAATAAATTTCTTATTTTAAAAATAATTAGAGCTCTGGATTTTTTTATATATAGATTTTACTCTGACTAATAAACTGATAAATAATTAATTAGTAGATTTTTAATACTAGTCTAGATTAGAAAAATATTAAGATTTTAGTTCTAATTAGAATAAAATCTCTTAAGTATTATCTTAAACTAATTAATAATTAATTAAATTATATTAATAATTAATTCTAAAATATCTGATTTAGAAGTTAGAGCTTGCTCTAGATAAAATTTTAAATAAAAATAATAAAAATAATTAATATATCTCTATTTATTAATTTTATTTATTATATAAATCAAGTTCTAATAAATTAATTTAAATATCTGACTTTTTTTTTAAATTTTTATCTTAAAATTTATTTTTTTAATTAACTAATTTTATATATAAAATATTTTTTAATTTGGTTTAGCTTATCTAAGCTAGTCTATTTTAGTAAATTAGTAATATTAATTCTTTGAACTAAATTATTTAGATAATTTAAAGCTTTTTTATTAGAATATTTTAATTTTTTATATTATTCTTTGGCTATTTTAGATATTATATATTAATATTCTGAGAGTTTGATTAATTTAAGGCTGTAAACTGATAAGTCTGAGATAGTTAATTAATTTAATTTAATAATAATAATTATAATAAAACTAGATTTTTATTTTTATTAAATATAATATATTTCTTTGATTTTTTTAATTTAATATAATAGAGTTTTATCTATCTATTTAAGAAATCTATTTTTTTTATTTAGAAATAGTTTCTTTTTATCAGCTTTTGCAGCTAAGAGAATATTTATATAAAATTAAGAAATATAAATTATTTTTTTGAA